ACCACTGCACTCTACTCTAGGAACAGAGCAAGACTCTATCTTAAAACAACATCCCCCCCCATAAAAAACCCACCAACAGCTTAGTTATCAACGATTTACTTAAGTCATATGAACTAAAAGGCATTTGGATTAATTAGTATATATTTTATGATTGCTCATTTATCTAAGCTAATCCGAATAGGATTTCTTAAGGAATTTCTAGCCAACTACACCAGATTTTACTGTGTAGACAGCATACAACACATGTCAACACACATAAACACATATACATGCACACAATAAAGATCTTATAGCTTTAATTGTAGAATTTTAGTCACTAGACAGTAAAGCATAGTAATACAAACTGCCAAGTTTATAAAAGAATAGTTGGATCCAAATTGTCTTTTTGACAAAATGGGACCTGTTCATGTGAATAAATGTTATTTTCCCTAATTGGTAATCTAAGAAAACCTGTGGACCAAAATTTTTAGGTAAAGCATCTTGGTTTTAAATAAATCTTGTATCCTTTTTTTCCAGTTTTAAATGAGTTTAGGATGAAATTATCAATCGTTTACATTTTAGCTGGGACTGACTGAATTCTATAAGAAAATCAAAATCTCCAGTTGCCTTGAAGTTTTTAGTAACAAATCTTTCTTTCGTTTGCTAGTCTGGTTTGCTTGACTAGTCAATGCAGGCAGGCAGGGAAGCATTTTGGCAGGTGGTTTTTTTTTTTTTTTTTTTTTGGTCAACTTTTCCTGGCCCCTGTATAGCAGACAGACAAAGCAACTTTTATGCCAGAGATACCCTGCATTATTGCTCTAAGTTCAAGATTTTGACCTTTTTGATCGGAGACGCTAACGCTAAGCTGTATAAACATGTATCTCTTTATGTCCTTTTAGAATATCAATCCTTCAATTAACTGTTTTATCACCCTAAGCAATTAATAGTTAGGAAAACCTAAATTTACATTTCCAAAAGGTGTCTAGTTTGTTGATTACGATGAAGCGGTTGTAATTTGTAGGCCATTAATTTGAAAGTCCTTTAAGGTTTCTATCTTTATCCTGGTTAAAATGCTCTTTAAAAAAGGTCTAAGGAGCTTTTGAAATTAGCAACAGTGTATTATCTTAACACAAATAAGAAAGTCAACAGATTTAGAATAGCCAGAAAAAAAAAAAAAAGAGAGAACTAAAAAGAATCTACGTGTTAACTGTATTGGTTGCAGTTTCTAATTGAAGTCTAAGAAAAAAACAAGGTTGGAGACTTCAAATGATATTCATGATGGCCATTAATTTACAAACATGCACAAGCAAAAGCCATGTAGCCAGCTGGAGTCCCAGAAAGCTTGACATGCCTGAATGAGAATCCCATTCTGTTTCTGACTAATTTCTCCAGAGCAAAGAAAATTCTATAAATCCTGTCAGGAAGTTTAGACTGGTGGTTTAGATCATGGTGACCATCCCAGTGGCTTTTAATTGGCCATATCATGCCTACTATTTAGAATGTTTATTTTTGCTCTTAGAAGATGTTCAGAAACAAACAAGGGAAAAAGAGCCAAATCATTTACAGACACACATAACCTAACCAAAATGAAACCAAAATCAGAGTGCTCACAAATATTGTAACCCAGCCATGCAGAGCAAGCAACATGTTGAGCCTGATGCACCAAATCAAAAGTGAATTCACCGGAAAAGAATGCTACACAGACAAAATGTAAACTCTGTAGAAACCAGAGAACTCAAACCAGAAGGACACTTGCCTTTTACCAGAAAGGGATTGCCAGAAATAACTTTTATAGTCCCAGGAGGGATGCAAGGTCCTTTATTTAAGGTGGCCTTATTACCAAATCAGATCCCAAATAAAGTAAAAAAAGAACATACCAAAGGGAGGGAATCCAAAAGTCCTAGAGGAGATTCACCATGGCAGAAAAGGCAACACTGAAGTCAGTCAGTAAGGCACTCAATTCCACAGGCCACCAATTCATCAAAGGTGAGCTAACTTTGGCCTCACTTCTGATACCATTAATGTGAAACTAAATAACAAACACAGGAGACTCTCTAAAAGAAAATGTTATTTATCTGGGAATAGGAATTACAATGGGAATACACATGCCATAGTAAACTATGTATGTGTTCAGGAGGGTAAAGGAAGACAAAGTTTTCTTTTTAAGTGAGAAGAATTACGTAATTGGTTTGAGAGATTATCTCTGGATACAGAGTTTAATACCAAGGGTGATGACAGTCCAAGGCTGACAGACAATTGCTGGGGAGATGTCTATAGAATTTTTTTGTTTGTTTGTTTGGTATAAGGTTGCAATGGCCTTTGTGCAAGTTTGTGTTTTTTTTCAGTCTTTGTGGTAATTCTTGTTATCAGGCGTTTGTGCATGAGAACCCTCTTCATGGCCTTCTGAGGTTCTGTCTTTTAGGATTTTTAACACAAGTGGCTCCATTTTGATTCTGACAACTTTCACAGTATAATTCTATACCACTGTATGCAATTGCTCTTTACCCTTAGCAGTACATCTTAGGGAATTTACCTATGATATTACACACATATATACATAGGTTATTCTTTTGAATAGTAACATAATATTACATAGTATTTAGTCTGTTTCCTTTTTACGTTTGTTTGCAGAATTATAGGCAATGCTTCAATAAACATTATTGTACACATGGGTATTTCTCTAGGTGAGATACTGAGAAGTGGAATCACTGGGCCAAAAGGTAAGCATAGTTTTGCTTTTGATAGATAATGATTATTGCCCTTCAAAGTGGAAGTTGCATTGAAAGGGTTTTTTTCTTCACACTACTTTGTCTACACATCTGCTGACACTTGATATAGTCAAATTTTGTTTGGTCAATCTGTTAGCTAAGAACTGGTATTCTATTATTGCTTTTTACTTGTATTTCCCTGGTTGTTTATTCTTTTATGTTTAATGACCATTTCATCTATTGTTCTGGGGCCTGACTCTTATTCTTTACATTTTCATATCTTTTAATCTATTTTTGTTGGGTTGTTTTTATGTTTGCTATTTAGTCATTCTGTAATTCTTTTTTATATTCAGTATGATAATTTGTTATATATGTATAAAACTTCTTTCTGGATTATTGCTCCTTTTAAAAACAAGTTTTATTTTTATCTAATACACCAATTAGAAAAATTTCTTATACATATTCTTTATAGCCTCAGGCATACATATACTTAGATTTTTATGTATATTGTAATAGCGTGGGCAAAGCCTCACCCAAATCCTTTTGAGGCTTACCACTTAGGACAGCTGCCTTCCCTGTGAGCATCTGTGTGTCTTTCCCTGACCGCTTTCTTCCCTCCTGCAGAAGAAGGATTTCTGCTCCTCACTCTGGGAGCAGTTCTGACCTCGATTGTTGTGGTTGGTCTTTAATTCTCTGCTCCTCTTGACCTTTGAGTCAACAGTGGCTCCTGGAGTTTCCAGCTAGATTAGGCTCCAGTAGTGGTAATTTACTTAATAATATACACTTTGTATACTGCCTTTGCTTCCCTGACTCCCTTCCTCCCCTTCCTACCAGTGATTCCTGTGGTCCCCTTTCAAATAACTATTTGTAGTTGGAGCTTTGAGTCATAAGTCTGCTTCTGGGTGAACACAAGCTAAGTGCTATCTTTTAGTCAGCACTTATTCTGTGCCAGGCAGCAGATAAGAGTCTGGGCTTATGAAATGTGTAATCACATCACTTCCATTTTGTAAATGAAGAAACCAAAGTTTAAGCTAAATAAGCTACTTGGGGATGTTCATCAAGTAAGTGAAAAAAATATAATTTGAACTAAGGCCCCCTGAGTTTCAAAACCCATATTTTTAACCATTAGATTGAGAAACAACTGCCTTTCTAGCATATCCCTCACTCATTTTCTCATGAAAATTCTGTTCCTTAATGGTCCTATTCAAAGGATAGTTCCTCAATAAAAGATTCCTTGGTGTTGGCTGGGTGCTGTGGCTCATGCCTGTAATCCCAGCACTTTGGAAGGCTGAGATGGGCAGATCACCAGAGAAAATGTGTCTCTACCAAAAACACAAAATTAGCCAGGTGTGAAGGCACATGCCTGTAATCCCAGCTACTTGGGAGGGTGAGGCAGGAGAATCACTTGAACCCAGGAGGCAGAGGTTGCGATGAGCTGAGATTGTGCCATTGCACTCCAGCCTGGGCAACAAGAGCAAAACTCCATCTCAAGAAAAAAAAAAAAAGATTCCTTGGTATTATGTTTCAGTTAAGAATTAATTTTTTCTTTCCTGGATTTTTATATAACTGACTACCTTTCTTTTGGAATGTAATACTTTGTCTTTTGTTTATAGGTGTGCATATCCTATTTTTTGTGCTATATAGAATAGTTCTTGGGTGCCTAACACACATCAGGTACATGTTTTCTTGAAGGAATGATTATAAATTTCTTTAGGGCAAGAAGTGTGTCTCTATATTGCCTAGCTCATATTTTATGTTAAGGAGTTCAATGAGAGCTCATTGGATTGAAGTTCAGGAACAAGATCATCTGCCAGAAGACATAGCATATACATTTTAGAAAGGACAGGAGGATGAATTGGGGGAGTAATTGATAGATATTGACACAATAAGTAGGCTAGTTGATGACCTAAAGAAATTTGAAAATGAGTACAATTTAAATTGGCCAGTGGGTTCGTGAATCCAGTGTGTTCATAGGATATCTTTCATTATCTCTTCTGTTCCTAGTCTAGTATTAGGCATTATTGTATGATAGAAAGACACCTGTAAAAGAAAAGAAATACCTGAGGCTCTCATGTCTTTGGCAGGAGTTCAATTTAAGAGAGTGAAAGAAAAAGGAAACCTCTTTTTTTTTTTTTTTTTTTTTTTTTTTGAAACAGGGTCTCACTCTGTTGCCCAGGCTGAAGTGCAGTGGTATGATCATAGCTTACTATAGCCTTGAACTCCTAGGCTCAAACAATCCTCTCACCTCAGCCTCCTGATAAGCTGGGATTACAGATACATGTCACCACACTCAGATAATTTTTTAAGTTTTAGTTTTAAGTTTTATCAAAGGAATAAAAATACAACCCTTTCATTTTATTAAGGATCCAAGGAATTTAGCATTAGAAAGACATCAACTCACTGAAGTAGGTCTTTTAGATAACCCTGAACTTTGTGTGGTCCTTGTCTTCGGCTATAATTGCTGTAAGGTGGGAGCCAATAATTTTCTGCAGCAAGTAGTCAGCGCTTTCAGTGATATGAATATCGTCTTGGCTGGAGGCCAGGTGGACAACCTGTCATCACTGACTTCTGAAAAGAAGCCTCTGGATATTAATGCCACTGGTGTGGTTGGACTGTCATTTAGTGGACACCGAATCCAGAGTGCCACCGTGCTCCTCAGCGAGGACGTCAATGACGAGAAGACGGCTGAGGCTGCGGTGCAGCGCCTCAAAGCGGCCAACATTCCGGAGCAGAACACCGTCGGCTTCATGTTTGCGTGTGTTGGCAGGGGCTTTCAGTATTACAGAGCCAAGGCGAATGTTGAGACGGATGCATTTAGAAAGTATTTTCCAAGTGTGCCCTTATTCGGCTTCTTTGGAAATGGAGAAATTGGATGTGATCGGATAGTCACTGGGAACTTTATATTGAGGAAATGTAATGAGGTAAAAGATGATGATCTGTTTCATAGCTATACAACCATAATGGCACTCATACATCTGGGGTCATCTAAATAAAGCCAACTTTAAAGTGGCTTTCATGCAATATATATAAACAAAAACAAAAACAAAAACAAAACAAAAAAAACACATCTCTCTATGATGCCCAGGTTGGTCTTGAACTCTTGGTCTCAAGCAATTATTTTGCCTTGGCCTCCCAAAATGTTGGGATTACAGGTGCGAGCCACCTTGTCTGGCCCACTTAAAAAAAATAATTTAAACTTTTATTTTCGATTCAGGGGGTACATGGGCAGGTTATATGGGCATATTGTATGATGCTGAAAGGAAACTTTAAATTATCAAAGAGTAGAAGATTCATTTGAAAAATTGTGTATTAAATTGTTGAAGCACTATAAAGGAATGATAAGAATATGCTGTTGGCTAGCCAGGGAAAACTTCCAGAAATAGGTGAAGGTTGAACCAAAACAAGTATGTGATGGTTGTTATTTGGTGGAAAGCAGTGAGCAGAGCACTTGAGCTCTGAGCAGTGAGCAAAGTTTTTTTCATACTTTGGCTAGGATGAAAAAATAGTGCAGGGTCTAGAATTAGTGTGTTGTATTTATGGAGTATGCAGAGTGGATGGGCTTTGCTGGTGGAAAGACTTTGCTCGATATGTTTAATATCTCCAAAAGGGAGACTCTAGGCAAACTGGGAGGCAGGTGAAATTGAACTTGGGAGTTCTAGCAGATGAATCTTTCAGCACTTCTTTTCCTCTTCTGGCTCTTCTTCCTTTCCATCCCTCCCCCCAGGCAGTCATCATGTATCTTATTGCCAGCTCTTACTTAGGGCTGTGCTCACTCAGGTGTAGATAATGATCATTTAGAATTTGAAACAGTAAATCAATTGGAGGGTGCGGTAGAAAGAGCAGGGGAGGAAAAAGTTTTGCCAGTTAAGATACCCATATTAGCAAAGGAAGAGGTGTGAACGTTTATAGACAACTTGATGAAAAGGCAGTGGTTTTGTTTGGCTAGGGCAGTGAGGTTCCTAATGTTTTTGAGTAAGAGAAACCCTTGTTAATAAGAAAAAATTAGTAGGTTCCTACATAGTAGTTACTGTACTAAGAGTATCCTTTGAAAAAATCATGTTGATAAGATTACTTTAAATTGATACATTTTAAAGCAATAGTTTATATGGTAGTTAATTTAGTTTACAGACAACAATTGGCAGGATGTAGATTTACAGGCCTCTTTACCTTACTTTACTACTTCGGAGATCTTTGGCCCACAGATTGGGTTTCACTGGGCTAGCATAGGATTTCTGTAGGGAGGTTCATTCTGTGAGACTCATTTACTCATTCACCCAAGAAATATTTATTGAACTAAGTGCAGTATCCTCTTTTAGGCTCTGGGAAAATCGTTGTGAAAAAACTAAGACCCTCCTTTAAGGTGCTTATATTTTAGTGAGAGGAGACAGACAATAAAAAATATCACACAAATAACTATGATATTTCTAATGGTCTTAAGTGTTATAGATAATAGGGATTGTCTGCATGGGCTAGGGGGAATGTTATGAAGAGAGAACTCTCTAGTATGGTGACATTTGAATAGACATTTGAATGAATTAGGGAGAGCCCTTAAGGTCTCAGGAATAAGAGTGGAGTGCCTGTAAAGCACAAGAGGTGGGAGCATATTTACTGCCCTTGGATAAGAGCAAAAAGACTGGTGTGGCTAAAGTAGGATTAGGGAGATGAATAAATTATAGTGGATGATGGGTTCTGGTAGTGCTTAGCCATATTATATAGGATCTTGCAGGTCATTGTAAGCACTTTGAATTTTACCCTAAATGAGTTAGGAAAAAGCCATTGGAGGGTTTAAATCAGAATAGCGATGTAATCTGAAATGTTTTAGAAGAATTGCCATGGCTTTTTGTGAAATAGATGATTAGATAAAAGTTGAAGCAAGAGACCAACTGTAGAAATCCAGGCTACAGATTAATTCTCAGATGCTTCTGATTGGTTGAATAAGACCAGGATGGAGAACTCACCCTTGGATTTGCAATGTAGAGGTTACTAAGGAGTGTGTACTCAATTTTGTAGGTAATAACGAGCCTTTGAAGGTTTTATAGGGAAGTGATACCATCAGTGTTCTACTTTATGAAAATTTATCAGTTGGTAGCCGTAGATGGGAAGAATTAGATTAGATGAAAAAGTCTGAGGATAGAGAGGTAATTTAGGTACCCATTTCAACAATCTAATTGAAAAAGTATGGGGGCTGGATGTAAAGTAGCAAAGGTGTGGATGAAAGTAACATTTCAGAGTCTGAATTGGAAGAATTAGGCAATTGAAGACATATAGAGCTGGAGACTAAAGAGTCTAAGTTAAAAATTTGAAATTTTGTGATGTGAAAAATTGTGATTCTAATAACAGAATTCAGAAAGTCAGAAACAGAATGAGTTTGTTTGAGAAAGATGATACCCTTAACTTTGGATGCCATGACTTTGAAATTCTAGACTTCTAGGTTAATCTCATAGCTCACCTTAAAATTATTATTCTTCAATCACCTTTCAGCAGTCTGTCTTTGAGATTCCAGAGGCATTGGAAACCATAATCTCCTTCTGAACTGAAGGATCCCACCTTTCTTCCTAGAATAAACCTTTGTTACTTAACTCTGTAGTCTGTATTGATGATCCACACAGAACAAGGCTAACAAAAAGTCCCTTATTTTTATTTGTTTACGTGCTAGGTTTGAGGTGTTGGTGGTAAATTTTGGCAAAAATGTCTTTTAGAATGGAAATGTAAGACAGAGGGAGATAAAAGTTGACTGAAATATGGGAATCATTTTCTATCAAACTAAATAAGAACTCTAAAGGAAAGAATGTACCAAAGAGAATATTAATTATAGGTGCCAGAAGAATTCTCTGTAGTGGGAAAGATAATTTGACATATGGAGCAGAGACGATGTACATTTAAAAGCTATCAAGAATATGCCTCAAAAATAAAACTTTCTGTTTGGTCAGTCACCTAGATGGGCCTTATTACAGTGGAAAATAAAACAGCATGCTGAGGTCGAGGAGTGACATAAAGAGAAATAAACAGGAAGTTTTGTGAGTTTCAAAGGAATGGTCAGGAGAAATGTACTTCATATTAAGTCAATGTGAAGTAAAGCTAAGGAAATATGCATTGGAGAATTCAGCAGAAGCAAGAAATCCAGGGAAGAAGTAACTTAGAATAATGTTAAGCTTCTTTGGAATTCATGAAGATATTTCAGGAGTGAGTTGGGGGATGCTGTTTTATGTTATATTCTGAATGGGTATTCTTCCCATTTTAATTTATAACAAAAATATATGGCAATGGAAGGGGGTGGTAACTATTTTGGAGACATTCAAGTTGTAAACATACAGGTCACAACACATTTAGAGGAGAAAAAAACAGAGATTAAAAAAGTAGTCATTAAAGAGGCAGAAGAAAATGGTTTCAGAATATTTCTAAAACTTGGATTACTTTATACATGAACTGGCTAAAATGGCATGAAATCCATTTACCTTTAAAAGACCTTCCAGTGCTGTCATGCAATACCCTGCCATTTTGTTGTGATTATTGTTAAGGGATTAATTAATTTCTATAATAGTCTTTTTTTTTTTTTTTTTTTTTTGAAACGGAGTTTCGCTCTTGTTACCCAGGCTGGAGGGCAATGGCATGATCTCGGCTCACCACAACCTCCGCCTCCTGGGTTCAAGCAATTCTCCTGCCTCAGCCTCCTGAGTAGCTGGGATTACAGGCACGTGCCACCATGCCCAGCTAATGTTTTGTATTTTTAGTAGAGACGGGGTTTCACCATGTTGACCAGGATGGTCTCGATCTCTCGACCTCGATATCCACCCGCCTCGGCCTCCCAAAGTGCTGGGTTTACAGGCTTGAGCCACCGCGCCCGGCCTTTTTTTTTTTTTTTTTTTTTAAATACAGAGTCTCATTGTGTCACCCAGACTGGAATACAGTGGCGCGATCTCAGCTCACTGCAACGTTAGCCTCCTGTTCAAGCGATTCTCCTGCCTCAGCCTCTGGAGTAGCTGGGATTATAGGCTCCTGACACAATGTCCAGCTAATTTTTTGTATTTTTAGTAGAGATGGAGTATCATCGTGTTAGCCAGGATGGTCTCCATCTCCTGACCTCGTGAGGCGTGTCTCAGCCTCCCAAGGTGCTGGGATTAGAGGCCTGAGCTGCAGCACCCATCCTCCATAATAGTCTTTACTTTCAACTCAGGAAATTGTTAACTTTGTGCTTTTTTGGGACTATTATGGATGTGAGGCTTCTTTATCTCCATGTAAATCTCACTGTACCACAAGTTCTCAAATCGACCAAATTGGAAGTTGGAGGAAAAATTCAGCTATGCACTTTTTGAGTGAAGGATAGTCATCATTTCATTCTGCGGCACAGTGTAATGTTGAACCCAGTTGGTATGTCTTTCAAAACTGACATGGAGTTTGTTCTTTGCACAGTAATGTGTGTGTGTGTGTGTGTGTGTGTGTGTGTGTGTGTGTGTGTGTGTGTGTACACGTGCACACAAATGCATGTTTTCTCTTTGAAGACTATTCTCTTTGAAACAGAATACCCTGGGCAAGTTATAGATGGATATTATGGATTTAACCCAACTAATTGTTAATGAATGAATGTTTCTTACCAGTAGGGTTCTTCTTATTTCCTAATTCTCATTCTGCTACACAGCAAGGAAACACTAGGTTACACAGCTGTTTGAACTTGAAAAAGATCTTCATGCCACACAATAAAATTATATTTTAGTTTTACATCGTAGAATAGAATATATAGTGTAAATGATTCCTTGGTTCAGATAATATATAATAATATATGCTTATTAAATAATATAGTTGTATACTTGGTTAAAAGTTGTTGAAGACTATATGTAAAATAGTATGTACCTGAACATAGGGCACAGAGAAACTCAAGAACTACTAACTGAACTAACTTTCAAGGTTTTCAATTTACTGTTTTTATTTCCTGTAAAAATCAGGTCACTGTTACTAATTTCAACTGAAAAGAATTAACGAACAAAACCTTTTTTTTTTTCAAGTCATAGAGAGT